TGCCTGTTCCATGGTGGGCTACCCCACCCACAACTAAGACTGAACTTGGCACCTTGAGCTGAGCTGCCACCCGGATGGCTCAGTGGATAGAGCATGCGCTCTTAACAACAAGGCTGCCGGGTTCGACTCTCGCATGGGATGGTGGCTATGCCCACCCACAACTAAGATTGAACACAGCACCTGGGCTTAGAGGCCACGAGCTGCTGATGGGCAGCCAGATGGTGGCTGGTGCCCTCCGCAACAAAGATTGAAGAACAACTTAGCTGGTCCCCTTCCCCAATTCCCCAACACTGTTCCCTTCCCCCATTCCCCAATTTAAAAAAAATAAATAAATAACATATACAGAGTCTGCTCACTACCTATAGAAATACAAAGACTAACTGGAAATAAACATAATCAAAAATTGATTTCTATTACCGAATATTCCCACACATTTTCTAAGAAAACATTGATTGCACAGTATTTGGATAACTATGGATTCAAATCAGCAATCTCAAAATTAACGTCGTTGAATGATATAAAGAGCAATACTTGTTTTTTCAGTATGTTTTTTAGTTCTAAAAACAATTTTCATTATACAGGTGGCATTTTACTTTGCAAATCGATTGCATGAATTATGTCAGCTATTGTGCAGAAAGAGATGAAAAGGATCATACAAGCATGAGGTATAATCTAAAATAGCTGAGTATTGACTTATTTTCCCGCACTGCTCAGTACACTCTTCTGAGAAACCATCCTTGGGAAAAATTCAGATGCAGGCATATGCGTACCTAGAGTGACCGGGTTTGTTCATCTCCAGGTTTGTCACAAGTCGATTAACCAGGGAAAACTCTGACTAATCAAAGATTCCTCACACCATTGTAAGAGTAAGGATTTTCTGCCTCAAAAGAGAAATGCTCTATGTTTGAGAGAAACATAAAAATCCATTCATTATGAGCAGCCTGAATATTCATTAGAATTCAAAGCTACAGGGGATGCGAAGAGCTAACTTGTTGGGAAAAAGAAAAGGCTGTTTATTCTTCACTGAATACAATGGATGATGTGAGGCACTCTCCCCTTTTCTGGCTCCAAATGGAACATTCCATTGACCTTAAAAGACCCCAAACTTTTGGTGTCAGATTTTACTTCTAATGCCGAATTCCCACATGCTACCATGCCAAGAGCTACACCTTAAAATGCAAGGGTAAAGAGCTTTAAAAATAAACAGAAATGTATCCTACAAAGTGAAGAAAGCAGGTCCCCACTTCTTGCTGGGCATTAGGTTCAGGATGTAAGCATTCTTCCACAACTTTTAAGAATTCCTTATGTACAGCAAGGATATCTTCAATGTTTGAGAACAGCATCTGTAAATAAAGAAATGGGTAAGTGCAATAGTGATGCAATTAAAAAAAAAAAAAACGTCTATGACAGTCTAGTATTCTCTCTCCAAGCTAAAAACGTCCGTGGATATCTAGCTATCCCACATCCATTCCTTCGTCCCACCCGGCTGGCAGAACACCAGTTCTGTCTGGACATCCTCTCCACTCCCACACAACCCTGGGAACCAGGAACCTATTTCTGGCTCTCAGGAAAAGCCTGAATGGCTGAAGTCAAGCATGGTACTCCCACACCATTAATGAGAATGGGCTGCAGGCTAAACAGTAGAAGCTGATTGGCTGGCAGGCTTTTTACTCCTAAGAAGGGCACTCTAGAATGGACAGCCCTTTTCCCCCTCTCAAAAGGTACTCTGTCTGGAAGTGATCGCTGGGACATTTTGCTGGTAACCAGGATGGCAGGGTAAGAGCTGGAGAGAACCTGGCCATCTTATGGACTTCCTTGAACTGCCAATCCCGAACCTTCCCTTCTGTCTAGAGCTCCTAATATGAGAGCCAAAGTATCTTCAAGTCAATTTGAGTAACAGGAGTCTTTTGCAAACAAAAACACACAAACTAAAACACACCCATGGTGGGAGAATTTGAAAGTTAGCATTGAACTTATGGGGAAATACAGCAAAGAGAGCCTATAAAATCCTATAAAATCCTTGGAGAATTCTTTTTTTCCCCCAGTAAAGTAAAACAGCAACTTGGCACCAAAAATAAATATCAATAATGGTTTATACAACGTAAATGAATAATAATGACCATAGCATAATTAATTTTCATTTCCAAACTCTTCACAATTTTTCTTAAAAGGAAATGCTTATTCATTTGTTTCTGAGTTGGGGATATTACGCGGATTTTCTTTTCTGCACCAGTGGACGGTCCAAATAGTTGGTTCTTTAGTAATTAGAGATTGGAAGTTGGTTTTGCCCACATTGTGTCTTCCTGAGCCACCTCTAGCAATCGTCTTACATACTGCTCAGCTCTCCCCCCTCTCATCGACGATAAGGTTCTTGGTCTTGGGTTTATTTTTCTCTTTCTTTTCAAACTTTCTAGAGCACTTGGCAAAAAATTTCTCTCCTTTGTCTTCTACTCCATCCTCTTAACCCCCATTTCTTTTCTGAAACTCGAGTTTCCCTTTTTCTAATTGCAACCCACATATGTGGCCGACACAAGATCTTATGCTGGAACTGAACACAAGTTGAAGAGTCATGAAGAAACATTCCACAGGTAAACCTTTATCTCGGAGGAACTTGTACTTGAGCCAAGGGCTGATGGTACCCCCTCACCTTCACTGTTTCCTCTGTGACATTTTTGTCAACTTTTGATGCCGCACACTGGTTCATTCGGTGTAAGAATGCCTGCACAAAACAAGAAAATATATAATAATAATAACATTATCTTAATAACTGCGTTGATCAAAATTAAATTAACTTTTTTTACAGAAAACCAAGGTTTAAAATGGCAATAATTCTTGAGTATAATAGAGTGTACTAGTTTTATTGTAAGACAGGGACTCTTTGTACATTGTTGCCCCTGCCTGACCATTATTTTTCCTTTTTAGTTTTGGGGCAGGACCAAAAGTGATCACGTATGTGTGAATTAAATTTATCCAACAAGGTCTCAAAGTTCTGTGGTAAACATTTAGAGTCAGATGTTTCCTAAATGTCTAAGTCTTGTGAAGTACAAAAGATCAAAGCCTAATGAAAAAGAGGATTTCTAATAAAAACAAAAGGACCAGAAATTCTGAAGCAACCCCTTTATTTATTTATTTATTTATTTATTTATTTATTATTTTTATTTTATTTATTTATTTTTAAGATTTTATTGGGGAATTGGGGGAGGGGAACAGCATTGGGGAATCGGGGGAAGGGGAACAGACAAGTTGCTGTCCTTTTGTTCTTCAGTCTAGTTGTGGAGGACGTTGCCTCACTGGCCCATGTTGGTATCATCATTGTGCTCTTCCCAGGTGAGGCAGATCGGTCTCTGGCCGCAGGACAGCCGCTCACGGCGGCTCATGGCAGCTCATGAAAGCTCATGCCAGCTGCTGGCCAGCCCCACTGCAGCCTATGCCAGCGACTCACAGCAGCCCAGCTCCAGGTCGAGCTGTTGTTCAGCATCTTAGCTGTAGAAGGCGCAGCATCACTGGCCCTCATGTGGGATCCGAACTGGCGGCCCTGCTGTTCAGAGCTCGTGCTCCCAAGCCAACTCTTAACTGAGTCACTCAGCCAGCCCTGAAGTAACCCCTTTAGAACTGAGAGGGAGGGAGGGAGAGAAAGAGAAAGTGACTCTTCCAGAAGGAATAAAAAGATGTGCCTCTCCCTTTTATCCTTTCTCCCGCAAGTTTTAGGAAGCCAGAATTTATACTTCTGGGATCAGCTCAGGGCTTTCCATAGCCCTATGGTAGGCAAATAAGTTCATTAGTATTTCAAAGATCTGGACTCTTCTTGATGGTCATTAAGCTTTGACCCATGGCTAAATAAGCTATAATTTTTAAGGAAAAAAAAAAAAAAGGTAGAGTGAGTTATTTATACTGGGCCTTAAAAGAGAAACTTCAGAAGGAAAAGGAAGTGAGACTTTCCATCTGGCCAATTTGGTTTGTGTCCTCAAGACATTGTCCATTAACTAACTATCTAGTACCCGGGTGAGACCATTCCTTCCTTTATTTGTCCGAAAGCGTCCGCCCACTACCTGCCAAGTCAGAGTATGACTATGCAGCCCACCGACTCCCCAGGGCACACAGAGGCTCTGGGGAACCTCTAGACACTGTATCGAACAAAGGAAAATTAAGATCCATTTTTTGCATACTAAATAGTTAAGAGATTAACAAAACCCAAGATTGTTCATGATGTTCCAAAATTATCACCCTCCAGACATGGCTAATAAAAGCATAAAACGGCACAACATGTCTGAGGACAACTTGATAATGTATCTCAAATTTTTAAATGGGCATTCTCTTTAAGCCAGCAATTTTCCTTCTAGGAGTTTACCCTAAGAAAATACTCAGACAAGGGGTTTCGGTGTATATTGATTACAGAGGTGGGAACACCGGAAACAACATACATGCCACCAATAAGGGGATCATTTAATATATTTTCGTACATTCAAATTTTAGAAGACTTGTAAAAGTATAACTTCTGCAAAAAGAAAAACGAAACTATTTAAAAGAAACAAAACAAATGAGCCACAAGATCTCACTCCTAGCATTAGCTTCAATAGCATCTTTATTCCCAATTCAATTGGTTCACATTTCATGTTCCGTAACTACAAACCACGCCAGTACTAATAGCCTCAACTGAATGAAATAATTCAGCAGAATTTAATAAAATGAATAAGAACGTATTGAATGGATCTCCATTGGAAAAACATGACACAGTTTTAGAACCATGTTCTCAAGTTACGTATAACTGGCAATGGGAACAGAGGTTTTGAATTTTCTGACTTTACGTGCCCATTTTAATTAGTGTTCGTCTGTTTAATTTTTAATTCTAGTTTTGTTTTTCTTGAATATGTTTCCACATACTCATACCAAAAATGCTCCTTAGCTCTTTCCATTTAGTCTTAAAATAACGTGGGTGGTTTAGTTGCCTGGTTTACATTTCATATTGACCACATAGTAAACAGGTAACCTCTCGTGCAAGCAAAGCTTAAACTTCACCTTCTAGATTTATAAACCTTTTCTTCATAAACTGAACTCAGTCACATTCTGAAACTCATAAATACAAGTTAGGAGGTAGTGAAAACGAATCAAAATAGGAGTTAGAAGGGAAGATACAAACTAATTAAGTAAACAATTTTTTTTTATCCAATTTTTTACCTTATCTTCTGTGACAATATGGAACTGTTTACCTAACTGCATAGAAAAGAAAACCTGGAACTCATTAGCATTTCTGACCAAGTGTTTTTTTCCCCAAGGGCCTTCATTTTACACAACAGTGAGGGCAGAGTTTAGATAATTTGTTGAGAGTGCAAAATCTTAAAAACTGGTTGACATTTTTTACAAAACGTTTAAGTCTTGCTTCCTGAAGGTAGAGATAAATAACGTATCTTCAGAAATCATCCTTTAACAACCTGTATCTACAATCCTTTCAGGCTTTGGTGACTGGGGCATTTAATCTCTCTCATAGCAACCAAGAAAGCATTAATACCCTGGTCACAAAAACACGGTAGGGAGGTAATGTGTTGCTTTAGATCTGCATTCATTCATCCTCACTGCTCCAGAATTTCATCAGAGTTAGATCATCTTCATTTTGATACAAATACACTGAAAATAAGTATTAGAAAATAGCTTTTAATGCTAGCGGATTGCAAACTTTTTACTGGATGTAAGACTTGGAGAGTCACTTCCAAACGCAGACTCGCGGGACCTATTGCCAGAAAGCCTGATACGGCATATTGGTTTAGAACCTAGAAATCTGCATTTTGAAGCAAGCTTCCTCGAATGCCAATCTGCATGCAGATGCAGTTGGTCCACAGACCACATGTGATGACCATTCTTTATGTTTGTCCTTCCAAAGTCTGAAGAAACAGACTTTGAGAAACAAGTGAGTCTTGGGTGGAAAAAAAATAGGTTCATTTATTTCACCGTGGCTTTCAACTCTGTCAAACTCCCTCAATGTACAATTCGCTCTCACTCAGCCATGTAGGGTTTTCTAATACTCCACCAGGGAACCCTCCCCGGCCAATAATGAAAATCACAATCGGTGTGTAAACAGGTCTTACTAATCTCTGAAGGCTAGGGAGATGCAAGGACAGGTGAGCCAGCTGAGATAGACTGAGTCACATTGGGAGAAGTGAGGCTCGCAGGTGGCCCTCCAGGTACCTATGATCTGTCAGGGGTGTCAGCACGCACTCACTGGCCAGCATTCCCCAACATGATTCTGCACAATGCATGCCTGATATCACTACAGCCATGGCTGCCTTTTTCCTGCTCAGAGAGCAAAACTTGCTCCACATCACGTATTTGATGAAATGTCAAATGTCATACACTAATTAAAGTTTAAGAAAGCTAAAAAGGTCACAATTTGCTACCAGGAAATCAAAAGAAGGAAGGAAACTCATTAAGATATAACAGGGAGTTGATGGTAATCCCCTTTCTCCTTGTCTGCCAATCTGGGCCACTGCTGGCTCAAAAGTGAAGCAAAATCCATGGTGAGTTTTATTCTCTGAACACATTGGCTTACTTTCTGACTTCAATGGACTAAATGACCTCTCTCCACTCATTTTGTCCTTCCCACTCTTTTCATCTGTCAGGCACACACATTCGATCACTCTCAAATGTCCCACAGATTTTAACAGTTCACACTTTTAATTCTAGATACCTGATGCCAATCTGAATGTTATAATATCACATAGGCAGTAAACCTTGTTACTCCTATAGATATTCTACATTCAGAATGATCTTAACAACAACCTGACATCTTGAAAATGTGGCTACTGAATATGGATACAGATGGGTAAATTTTATATACAAAGGCGAAAAGGGAAAATTTTTTAAAGGGCTGCAGTATGCAGAAAAATGCAAACTCATTTCATGAAAATAAGTGGAAAAAACTTAAGGGTAAATATTTTCCTTTTACCTCTTGAACTTAAAATAATATTATCACATCAAAATTCTTTAGAGAGTATTTTGTTTTGTTTTGTCTTCCTGAGAGAAAAACAAAGTCCTAATAAACAAAAAAGACTTACATTTGAGTTTGTCTTGAACACCACTTAATAGTGGTGCCATTTTATCGGAACGGAGGAGTCAGAATGGGTAGGTTTTGGGGCAGGAAAGTCAGGGTGTTTTCTGGCCATGATGCATTTGAGATGCCACTTGGACTCTCAAATAGGGAGTTAGCTGAGGAGAGAGCAGGTTTGAAGGTGAAGAGTTGAGTGTCATGGGCACAAAGACATAACTCAGGAAAGGTATACACAGAGAGAAGAGGAAACTGGCCCAATCCATTGGAGAGGGCACACAGATGGAGAAGACAAAAGGTCCCAGGACAGATCCTTGGGGCACCCTAACAATTAGAGGTCAAGGAGAAGAAGAGAAACCAAAGAAGCCAATAAGGTAGTAGCAAACCCAGGAGAATATGGTGTCAGAAAAGCCAGAGGAAGAGAGGGTTTCCAGAGAGAGGGAATGTTTTAACAGTGCTGAGAAATCAAGTAGGTCCAAACAGATACATGACTTGACAATGCAGAGATCGGTCACATCTTATCCACAGCAGTACCAATGGAACGGGTACAGGAGGAGATGGAGGATGCGTAAATACAGCTATAACCATAGAAAAAGTTTTTAAAACTTTAAAGTTTTGCTAATAAAGAGAGCAAAGACAGGGAGGTGGGTTTGCATTGAGAGAAGGTTGGTTTTTTTAAGTCA